TCACAGCAGGAAGGGAACAGAGCCAGGTTTGTAGCTCAGAAAGAGAGACTAGTAAGAAAATTTTAAGGGTATAGATAAGAGCCTGAGAGAATGGGGTGCAGGAGAGAATCAGAAAAACTATCTCTAAAAGACGGAGCCATGCACAAAAGTTAGAGAAAGCTATTGCTAAAAAGCAGGTCAGGCAAAATTTTTTGTACACAACTGGTAGTTGAAATACAGAGCAGGCTGCCAAAGTCAGCAGTGGAAGGACAGAATTGTGTAAATCACTTCAAGAGGCAGTGCGGGCACATTTTTGGAAAATGAGGGAATCACTGGGTATAGCCAGTAGTGGGGCATATGGAATTAAAACTATGAAATGCAAGTTGATACATATTTGGAAGGAACACAGGAGTAAGCTCTGCTGCCCTCCATGGCTCTCACACAATGGTTGTAGCACCCTGCAACTTCAGGCACTTGCCTGTGCAAATCAGAGCATTCTCTCAACTTGCAGAGAGTTATGGATGAGAAACTCTTCCAGAAGGAATTTTCTAGAACAGCCCAGGAAATTGCTGCAAAAGGCAGTATTTATATTAGGATGAGTCACTGGGGTCTGATGGTCCTATTCACCACAGTACAGTGGAGGATTTCTATACACATTTCTGAAAGAGCAGTGTGGCTCACATGTCATTTAATTGAGATGTGGTCATGTTTTTAATTGTCATGTTCTTCCCCCCTCTTCTCCTTCAATTCTGATCATCAATTTAAGGATTTTATACAGCAACTTGGTAGAGGCCCACACCACCCAACCCATTCTGGGCAGAGCCATGTTTGACCAAGCACAAACCTGCAGGACAAATAGACTGAGATTAATTTAATTAAAGACTCATTAAATAATGATGCTTAATGGATCTGAATTCYGAGCACCTGAATTCTGTGCTTTGCAGTCCCCCAAGTCCTTGGCTTTGGAATGATCATATTCTTTTAGTGCAGTATTCAGTTTGTAACACTTAGAAGCAAGAGGCAGAAATTAAAGTACTCAATCCTAACCCATTTTGCAAATATTTTTTCTAACCAAAGTACAAATCCCCTATAAGTTTGATTTTGAGTGGCTTACTAAAAGACTACATAATTATCTGAGTTCAATTATTGCAAAGATCAAGACACTGAAGGTAACACAGCTCCATTTTCTAGTAAGATTGATCTGCGAAAGTGTTGTTAGAGACACCCAAGCTATTTCAAAGGAATTTTTCACCTATACAGGATGTAACTGTCCAGAGAAAAATTGTCTGGGAATAAAAATCTGAGCAACATCATTGATCAGACTCAGAGATATAGTGAGTTTAAGAATTAATGTCTATTTCACAGTATGCATGCATCAGTAATCAAATATTATTCAGGTTTTTTGGCTACCTAATGCAAAYTTACAGCTCTTGTTCATCTGTGGTGAACAGCACAAACTTTAGCAGTATTAGCTGAGGTTAGAAAATATAAACAAAAAGAGCAGATCACTTCCATTACTTGTTACGATGTAATTTGTATGATTACCTGGATGAATAAATGTTTGTGCAACATCTAGAAATGAAATTTAAATGAAGTGGATGAGGAATGATTTAGGAGTGTTTTAAGGTGTTTTCTTATCAAGCAAGGTACTAGCTTAAGGCAGAAACCTCAGCCATGGAATAAGCTGCTGAAACAGTTCTGGAGATGAACTTTATCATGATGACACTACATTTGGAAAAGAGGATGTAGAGGAAAGATGCTCAAGAATGAGCTTGTAAAAGCCCCATATTTTCTTTCTAGATCTGCTTCTTATACTGCACTCATCACTGTGGTATCTTGAGTGCTTTCCAGTAGTGCATTAAGCAACATGACAAACATCTGTCACATGTTTATTCTCTCACCCTCTCCCCAGAGGGGCAAGTGTGTGCAGTGGAGAGTCTTGTTTTAATTTTTTTAATTATTATAAATACACATGCACGTAACACATTATTAAACATTCATGCTAGAGAGGAAAGGTCAGATAAATTTGYCTTGCTCTCAGGATTAGAGCTTTGTGATGTTCCTGTATCACACCCTTGCCCCAGATTGCAGTGTCTTCTCTGAGGCTAAATCAYGGTCATGGGTGTCTGCACCAAACAGAAACGAAAAGTATGGAATCCCAATGCCCTCATTTACTGTTCACACTTAAATCCAGGGGTTCTGTCAAGAAAAATCAAATGGAATGAGAGGTAAAATTTAAGGAAGAATATGTGTTTCATATAACCCCCATGTCATTACCATATTATTCCATTTGATGCAGACTAAAAGCAGGAATTGATGGAACTTCAAAATCACTGTCAGAGAGCACTGTGTGAACCACAGTAAACTAGGAATTTCATAGATTGAAAAAATCTGATTTCAACTGGAAAAACCAGTTCCTAGAATAATGGGATGAAGACCTGGGAGCTACTCTTTTCCCTACAGGAGGGACATAACTGGGAAAACAGTGTCCTGGAGACTTGAGTTTGGTCAGACCCTGAAGAACTGGAGATAGACAATCTACCCAATTCAAGAGGCATGAACACATAGTGGGAATCCCAAATCGATATTAGCCTCACCAGTGTGAGATGGTGTCATTTCCCATAGTCTGTATATTGGTAAATAAATAACYCTGCCTCTGCCACCTCAGAGAGAAATGGAGCCACTCTGCCACATGCCTAGGAAACTCCAGTGTTGCTGTTGCTTCCTACCTGTGACTGCYACACCTCTGTTAATCCAATAACTTTCTGGACAGTTAGGAAACAGACTGTTTCTTTAATGGACAATGATCTGAGTCACAGTGAGTGCCAAGAGCTGGAGCCTCCTCTCTGGCCTCATTCAAAGGCAGCCAAATCCTCCAGTGCTCCTTTGTGTCCTGCATGAGGGCTGGGCTGTTCCTGGGATTGCACCAACACAGCTCGCTTTTGGCACTGCTTTTGACACTGAAATCTTCACCCATTTCCTCACCTCCGTATCAGCAGTAGGACACATCTGTAACTATTGCACTACTAGACATGTCAGCACTGAAACCTTTCCWGGTGCCCATTGTTCTCCTCCCACCATTTTTCCCTTAAACACAACCTTTAGGCCACCAGCCTTGCTCTACAACCACTGATTTCCTTGCTCAGGGGGGAGCAGGGCCACTCTAAGCACAGCAACCTTGTCACCCTTCCCCAGGGAAGGCAGGAGGCTCCTCTCCTGTCCACCCTCACTTCCTGCCTTTTATAAACCCAGATCTTGGCCATAACATCAAACCTTCCAAGGGTGTCCAGATTAAGAGGCAGCTAGCAAGCAATGMTTGGGAATAATAGTTTTTCTGTCCAACTGAACTTACCATCATGAACAGCCAAAGACCATGAGTGCATAAGTAAATCTATGAATCATTTTAGCTGGAGTAGCTTATTATTCAATGCATTTTAACTAATCCATCTTAAAAGCTARCTCATGTTTACTCATATACGAAATTTCTAAAGATCAAATAAACTTTCTTTGTTCCAGCACACTCAGCAACAAAAAGGATTGGAACTGTACAAGTATTTTATTTCCAGCTTTTRTAGAAACCAGGAGTACAAAGCTCATGAGGTCCTTGCAAAGACTTGCCTTGAGCTGCCCTGTGTTGGGGTGGCAAGAGGMAGTCAGTTGTAGTTCCCAAAAGATTTCACACCTGAAAACGTGCTTTTCAGAGTCAGGATACAGAGGTCAGCAAATCCKGGACCAGCACAGCAGCTTCAGCATTGACACTGCGCAGAAATGCAAAGAGCAGCCTAACATGGTTTCTCTGTCAGATAAAGGGAAGATATATGTAAAATATTTGGACATTTTGGGGAAAGGGTAAACATTGAGAATTAATTCAAACTGTTGATGGTTTATTTTTTATTGAATCTTGTGGTCACAATTGTTTTCATTTGTTATGAGAAAGAATCCATCAKTTTTTCCAAAGCACCACCCAGAATCTGCCACTGGTGATGTTCTAACATCCCCAGTGCCTACACAAATAGAGAGGTCAGCTGAGATTTGTAAACTAGAGATCATAAGTTTTAAGGAATTTGTTTATTCAGCCTGGAGTCTCCAAATTGTGTACGATGCCAAAATTAAAAAGTCATCTCACTTTACTGTGTCATGTTACAATAAAAAGCTCTCCAACATTTTGGATGTTCAGATGAGAAAGCAAATTGTAATTCATTTGTCAGCACATGCAGTCTAATTATAATTAAGTACCTCCAGCAGTCATAATGAGCAGGCAAAATGAAAATGCTGTTTTTATACTTGTATAAACCTGCATTCAGTGCAAGCTAAAAGCTGCCTGAATTACTCTGAAAAGTATCGGGCTAGAACTTGCATTTTTAGCTGTACTGTGCAAATACAAACATAAGTRAACTGTTTCCAGAGACTTGAACAGATTGACTGAATTAGGGGAATTTTCATGGGAATGACAAGAGGCAGATCTCTTCCTGATGAGAGGAACCACATACCAAGTTCCAAGTCCCTGTCCAAAGCATGGAGCATGGGAAGCATATAAAAGAGATCAGCGGAGTCCTTTCAGTACCAGCAAAACAATGTATTTCTATCTCCTTCTTGAGAGAGAGCTGAACTACATTTGCTGAAATTTTCTGGAGTAATTCAGCATGAAACATCCAACCAGCGTGGGAAAAAAAAAACCAAAGCAAAACAGGCAAATGATTCAAATATTCTAAAGCTGCAAGAGGTTTACAGAAATTTTAGACTGACAAGTACAAAATATTAATGGTACTTGAGAAATGAAATAATTTAGTTATTTAAATTATCATATCTGAAAATATCWACAAATGCAGTGTCTGAGAAAATGTTTCCAGATTTCTGATAGCTGCATGTGGAGTAAGTGTTGAGATGACATGTTAGGAGTGTACGTGAACTTTGCTGCCTTCATTTATAGGTAGCTTGAAGATGTGTAAAGCGTTTCCTCAGGCTAAATACTTCAAATAAATTTAATGACCAATATTGCCCTTGTTTTGTTTCTTATAAAGATATAGATGAATGTGCAACTGGAACCCACAATTGTAGAGCTGACCAGGTGTGTGTCAATTTRAGAGGGTCCTTCAGCTGCCAGTGCCCTCCAGGCTACCAGAAACGGGGGGACCAATGTGTTGGTAAGTGCTGCTTTACATTAAATGGTTTTCTTTCATTACCTTACAGTTGTAAACTTCATATTGGTCATAAAGCAGATGGGTCTGTGTGGTGTAAAACAGCTGTCTCACTTTGGAATGCAGTGGCATAGACACTTTACCACAATAATTAATCACYAACACATGGAACGAGGAGCTATTTTAAGGATAATCAACACTTGAATTTCACAAGCTGAGTTTTGCTAATAGTTCCCATTGTGTTGATTGTTTGTGTTGGGCCATTGCCCAGTGTCCCAGATATTGCCATGAATCCCCAGTGGCAGCAAAGCAAAGCACATCCTTCCCCTGAGYTTCAACTTTAGCTCTGTGGGACACAGCTCTCCCTCCCCCAGCCCCCATTCCTGCTCCAGGACTCAGCTTTATGAGCACAAATGAAAGAGATGGAAACTCTGAATGCAGGTACAGGAGATTTGCAGCCTCTAAAAAGCACCACGCTTTATTCTCCGTGCCAAGATAAGCTATCGACACCCTTGGGAGCTATGCAGGTATAGATTGGAATTAAATCCAAGCACGGGGTAAACACTGCATCTACCCTATCCCATCCTCAGGTGGGGACATCAAGCCAAAGTGCCATTACCCTGTTCCTTCAGCCTGTATTTAACACCTCTTTAATCACCATTTCAATGGATAAATTGTGCCTATAGACACTCTAGCCTTAAGTTTTTGGTTTGTCAGATAATAAAAACAACTTTGAAAGAAGAGAGTCAAATCTACACATCAGGAGACAGCCTCYTCTAAGACACTGCACTGGTTTTATGCAGCTTAGGAGGAAACGCTTTGGGGCTGGGTTTTTTTTCCTCAACAAAACTCGAGGTTTTCCTCTTCAGGGAACCTGCACTTCAAAGTGTATAAGAATTTTTAAATTTTCATTCTTCTTTTACTCTTCAAAATCCATGCTAAGACCACAGGTAGGAAACTGGGGAGATTTTATTACACACCTAGAATAACTTAAATTTCTGGGCATGGCTCTTTCCTCAGGATTCCAATCCAAGGGCTGTAGAAAGAAACCCAAAAATTCTTATCTCTTTCCTAAGAGATGTAGATCAGGCCCTCAGCTGTCAAATTGGTGTAAACACAGGTGCATCTGATTTCACTCAGTTCTCTGTGCAGGAGTAGGATGAGTAATTTGGAATGTAGGTAGAGGAACAGTTCTGGAAGGTCATAGATTTTTTTTTTCTTTTAATATTTGGGGTTTATTTAGATTTTTTTATAGCACGTAAATTMTATTACTGCCATGCAAAAGCACTTCTGATATCAAGACCCATGGTCCTTAATGAAAATCTGACTTGGAAACATGACAGAACCCAGAAGAAATAAAGGAGTGTGAGGCACCTTTATATCTAAAAATGAACACATTATGCATCTAAACCTATGCATGAAGATGTCTGGAAAGTGAAATTTTCTTTCTCCTATTTAGGTCAAAATCAAGAATAACACCTGTATTACATATTACACACKGACCAAAATTAGAAGTACATCCCAACAGTTAGTACTGTCAGCATTTCAGAATAAAGCCTGTCTTTGGGGATTTTATAACAACTTAGCCAGAAAATGTTCTTGGGGCCAGATCTTGATATAGGTTCTCCATATGGGAGGAAATGTTTCTCAAATTTGAAAGAAATTCTTCCAGACTGTTTTGGCTTGAAGGCAGAGGGAGAAAAAAAAAGGCACATTTTTAAAAATTGGTTGATTTTAATCTAAATTCACTAATAATTTTGGGGGCTTTTTTTTTTTTTTTTTAATTTGCTTGTTCACATATTGCCAAATGAAATTTGCTGAAATGCACGACTGCAGAGAGAATAAATTGTTCTCCAGCATTGTTTCGAGCAGATTTGGCCCAATTGATCAAATGAATCTCAGCCCTCAGATCTGCCCAGAGCTGATGTGCCTAATCCCACAAAGAAAATTCCCACTGAATAAAAGCCAGATCCTGGAAGCATTTATTTGTATAAATGCAGCAAAGCATTGTTCATACATCTATACTGTATAATCCTATTTTTTAAAAGTAACTTGTAAGAGCTTGGTCCTGTAAAAATCAAGTATGGAAATCTACTGAGCCTCCTTAATTTATTCCATTTCCACTTCCAAATTTCTCTCTGCAACAAGAGTTTCAGGGACAATTACTGCTGTATGTATAGCCAGGAATTTTCCAGCATAAGCCTTTTCATTCAGAATCATCCAAAACACTAAGATCACCCCCAAATTTGACAAGGCAAGGGTTAACCTCTAAAGATTATTTTTTCACTTGATATTAAAACAAACACTTTCGTCATTAAAAAGAAAAAAAAAAAAGTCTTGGCATCTTTTTAAACACATCTATGGTGGAAACAGCTGGAGGTAGGAAACTCAAGATCTGGCATGGATATGGGAAGTGCCTTTCTTTGTTCCAGTGAATACTGGTCTGATTTGTGTGAGTGTTGATCCTTTGAAATGTCCCATTGTGTACAAGGACAGAGCGCAGTGTGGATTTCTTCACCAAGCAGGCCACGGCAGGCCACGGCTCAAGGCAGCCACTGCACACACACACACAAATGATAATGGAATAATAAAACATGTTTTCCAGGCAAAAACAGAGCTACTATCTCCATCAGAATGCAGGGAAGCATTTTAGAATGCAGAGGGGTAAGAGAATGGGGCGGTGCACGTTTTGTGTGGTTGGCAGGTGAAACCCCTGCTCCAATGCACGCTAGGAATGCTTACTCTTGGAAAGGCAGCCTGCTCCACCYCAAAAGCAGGGCTGACCTGCAAGGAGAGGCTGTGGAAGGCACTCACAGCCCAAGATGCACAGCCAGGTGTGGTGCTGCTGCGGGGAAAAGTATCCAGGGCAGGCAGTGAGGGGAACAGGAGCGATGGGAGCCTCCTGGGGAGCAAGGCAGATACTGGGATCCCTGTGGAAGCACAACTACCTGTTTCCTTATCAGGCCCATTAATTCTCTATCTTTGCCATTCCCATGTAATTGCACAGAATATCTGGACTGTTCCTAATGGAGCTGGAAAGATTWAGTACATGCCAGGAGCACCACATGCGAGTTTTTGGGAAAAAAAGCTCCAARCTACTGGCTGTGTTGGTCAGCACCATGTCTGACCCTGAGGGATCCCGGTGGGAAAGCTGAACAAAACACTGAGTWTTACCTGCACAAAATAAAACAGACCAAGCCCTGCTGCAGGACTGAATCACTAAAGCAAAGCTGAAATGTGCAGGGAAGACAAGGAGCATAAAAGCTTGTTACAAAATAGTCMCTTATAGGAAAAATTAAATTGTATCTTGTTAATGTCCAAGGAAGCAGTCCCCAGCTCAGTGAAGCTTTTCCCCCACTGTTAATCAAGTGTAATTAACTTTGCTCAGACACGAGAGAGCAGCAGGGAAGTGCTGTGATTCCCTGGGAACTAACTGCTGTTTTTTGGTGCCCCAGATATCGACGAGTGCACCCTGCCCCCGTACTGCCACCACCGCTGTGTGAACACCCCCGGCTCCTACTACTGCCAGTGCAACGCTGGCTTCCAGCTGGCATCCAACAACCACACCTGTGTAGGTAAGGATTCCTCAGSCACACACAGCAGCTCCTTCAGACACAGAAACAGAAACACAGGACTGCCACAGTGGACACTTAGAGGAAATAAATAGCAACCAGTAAAAGACTGCACTGAGAGGTTCCTCTGCRAGTAATCTGAGAATTACAGGAGGGTTGAAGAAAAAATTGGAGCCTGCTTAAACACCTGTTATTTTGTTGGTATAGTAGACTTCCAAGGAGCATCTAGAGCCTTATATTCAGTATTTAACCTTAGATTTAATTACTCTTTCAGTTCTGCTTTATTATTGGCTTTCTTTATCTAATTCCCAGTTCACACAACAAAGGTCAGAACTAGAAATCAAAGGAATCAATACTGTACCTCTGCAGTTAAGTGTAATTATCCTCAGCACATGGTAAAGAAAGTCTCTATGCCACATTTGACTATCTAGAAAACATTAAAAATTGAAACAAAGATCACGACAAGTGACCTTTCAGCAGTGACACTGCCCTTAGAAATAAAACACTAAGGGAAGCTGCACGGTAAAACTTCAAGACATATGTCAAGTTTGAAATCATAAGTATTATATACATAGAAAAATCAGGCTGTGTTTTCCAGTTTCCACCACCCCTTCCAAGCATTTCCAGACCTCATCAGGTAYCCTGGTACACTGCACAGCTCTGAACTGAGATAGGAATTGCTTGGTTCTCACCAAATCAAAACAAAAATTGTCCATGGACACAACAGAACCGTGGGACAAAAGTCACTTATTTGTCCCTTTCTATGGCTCAGATGGAAGGTGAATTCTTTCAGCACTTCAATGAAACACCCATTCTCTGGCTTTCCAGCTTCCCAGCTTAAGCAGGCACATTCCTACCAGGAAAAGAGAAGCCAAGGAGAAAATCTGTAAAGTGATAGTTCCTGCATCAAGTCAAACTCTCACATCTGCCACAGTGACACTTGACAGCTATACCCATTAGATTTGTGTTACATCTTCTGCCTATATTGAAAGTGGGTTAATATTTCTTGGAAAATGAACAGAACTGGTGCTTTGGACACCTTATTCATTCCTCCTGGTAGAATTGGTGTGATGTACATCCTTTGTACTGTTGCCAGAAATTAAGTCAGAGGAAGAAAAAAAACCTTTGTGATGAGTTTTCCCCTGTTATCATTCATTTTTTAGGACTAGGAGGTTCCTCATGCAGAGAATTAATATTCTCTTCACTGGTTTCATTTTTCTGAATGCCTCATCTTTGTCAGTTTTTAGTTGTATCCATAAATTACAGTATTGCTGACATTTATAAGCCATGAACTCAAAGATTGTTTCCAAACACAGCTCTCTACTCATGGTTATATCTGATAAACACAAATATGAATGGCAAACATGCAGGAGGGAAATACAAGGGAAAACACTAAAATCTACAGACTGACAGAAGCAGCAGTTAATCAACTATCTGCGCAAAACAAGGGCTATAGATTCCAGAGATGATTAGACTTATATAAACTTCCCATTAAAAATTGCTTCTCTTTTCATACCAATGTCCTCAAAATGTTCTTGGGATGGGCAACACCATGGAAAATGTAGCACAGAAAAATACCTTCCCCCAATATGGTCTAGGCCTTAGAGCACTGCGGAACTCTACTGGCCTCAAAGGCCCATGTTATAATTGCAATGGAATTTAAAAGAACAAATTTTCAGAGTAATAAATAGCTCAAATAAATCTTAACCACTGCATGCTGAGAGGTCTTATCAGTATGTGTTCCTTATATCAATTATTTATAGAGACCTGGCATTTCATAGCTGAAAAAAAGGCACTGGAATGTGGAGTTTAATAGCCACATTAAACATTTTTGGGAGAATTCATCACACATTAGAACAACACTCATTCCTGGAAAAATACTGGTTTTTACATGGAATGTAAAGCACAGATCTTACATTGYCTCAGTGACTGCAGATCTACATTGACAGAGCCAACAGCTTCTGCTGAGCAATAGGCCCAGCCTAAGGACTAATTCACCGAGCCTAATTACCACCTACACAAGATAAATATCTATTTTTCCTTTCAGACATAAACGAATGTGATGCCAACAATCCATGTGCACAGCAATGCTACAATATMCTGGGTTCTTTCATTTGCCAATGTAATCCAGGTTTTGAGTTAAGCAGTGACAGAATCAACTGTGAAGGTAAGACTTTTTTTTTCTTATGTCTTGGAAGAACAATTTATTTGTTTATTTTGGTCTTCTCAGAAGCCTTTCTGGGAACTAAGGGACAGAATTGGAGATGCTCTGTGGTGTAGCCTTAAGGTACTTTTTTATGGTACAAATGGGGCTAATTCACACCTGAGTAGCTGCAGCTGCTTTCAGATACAGCTAGGAAGGAATATCTCCATAGCAAGTGCAAAACAAGTACAAGAGATTGCTGCACTTCAGATCCCAAGTGGGAACAATAAGATATCTGAACTTTGATTGCACAAACTCCCTGGAATTGTGGGTGGCCTAATGCTGATGACCACTAGATGAATCGGAAAGGAATGCACACCAAAAACAAGGGCATTTTGTGTGTTGTTAGGCTCCTCCAAATATAAAACCTCCCATTTCTGATTTTAAGGAGTGACAATCATGCTTCTGAGGTGCTTTGCAGCCTGTGTATACAAACAGCATGTCTCCYGATGATTATACAATCAACACTTTATTTCCTCTGCCAGAGCCTCCACAGGGGTCCCCTAATCTGTTTTGGGCACATGATGACCTCACCCTCAGAGCCCATGTCCTTTCTACCAGCCTTGGAGCCAGCGAGGTCCCTGCTTTAGCGCTGCCCTCCCAAACAAGCTGGAAGAGCTGTTACAGACGCTCCCTCTGCTAAGCCAAGCTGCTTAAGCTAATCCTATTTGAACAGAACAGGGAGCAGCAAGTATGCAGCCTCCAAGGACATCCCTGACCCCAGCCCAAGAGCTGGGCTCAGCTCTGAGGTAGTAGGAGGGAGCTCTGTGGCTCTGTGCTTTCCAAGCCAATCCCTACTCTTTAAAGGTTTAAATTCATTTCCTGTTGACGGCATACACGGTTCAGTTCTGTTTCACAGCAGGCTTCCCTCGTGAGGGACTGATGGTTACAMAAGGATAAAAAAGCAGGAGAATGGTATCCACTGATTATTATTGGAAGGCAAGAAAAGTATCTCTCTTTCCCAGAGAGATACTCCGTGACTGTAGGGCACAAGTACAAAGGCAACATTTTTGCCTTACTTACTAATCTCACAGCTGTGGGCTTTTTCCTCAAAGTCATCACATTTTGGAATACTACAAGTATACACAGTTTCAAGAGTTATTTTCCCAAACTTGTTTGGAAGTTAAACTTAGCTTCTGCTTTCTCAAATCCAAAATTCTCCTTCTGGAAGATTTATAATAAAACCCTAGAACTCACCCTTCTATTTGCAGCTTCAAGGCATTAAGCRGCACATTTCAGGTTTTTAATAAATTCTTTTTAGACAGATTTTTTTTCCAAGCATTTACCTATTATATTTAGTTCTGTAACAAAGTAAATTTTAAAAGCCAATATAGCATGAAGTTCTTTTGCTCTCTGCAGACACTGATGAATGCAGAACCTCAAGTTATTTATGTCAGTACCAGTGTGTCAATGAGCCAGGGAAATTCTCCTGTGTGTGCCCTGAAGGATACCAGGTAGTAGGAGGCAGGACATGTCAAGGTAAGTGCCCTCCCCTTGGCAGGCTCAGCCCTGTATTATTTACACCATTTCAGGCAAGGCTAGGAGTGYTTGCTAGCTAAATGGTTATATTTCATGACAGGATTACTTGCTGTTAGCAGAAGATATGTTGATAAAGCAGTTGATGATTCATTAARTATCTTTTAATCTCATTTGAATCCTTCAGCTCAAACTCCAAGTCCTTTGGATTCCTAGGACAAAATTTCCATTTTTGCAACCTGCAACCTGTAAAATTTGTCTTGGATGTCAAGGTAGTGGGTCTAAATTTGAGATAAACATCCCTGAATAAAATCAGACTCTTTTACAGACATGAAACATGGCTTTATATCATGTTTCTTTCCAGAGAGATTCCTAAATCCAGTCATAGTAGAAATTAAAGATATATTTCTTCTGATAACAGGAGAAAAAAAAATGSAAGCCTTCAGCAGCTTAGATAATTCATATGTAGAAAAATAAATGTTCTGGCCAGGTGCCACAAAGTRCCAGCATTTTCAAGTTTGTGGTTTTTCCTCAGTGGTGCTAAACATCTCTGCATCTTATTAAGAGAATATTGCAGAACAATATATTAAGTGCAAGAACTATTGCTTCTGTAATGCAGAACCTGATTTAAGAGTCAGTATTCTTAGAAACAAATAGGTGTGTTAGTTAGGGCCAGAAAATGTGGGAAAAAACCCTTTTATCAATATTTTGTTTGACAAAATCCTGATCAACTTCTTTCCCTTCTTAAGAATAGCAGCTGACACTGAGCACTGCGTGATAGTCAATTGAAGCACCTAAAAACCTGTTCGTATCTTCCAATAGCTTACATTTGAATAAAGCCTTTCTGTGCCTGTGTGAMATTCAGGAGACCATGTGGGCAGACAGTGGGGCTATGACACTAACAGGAAATAGAGCATTAAATACAGTGCAAGGCTGAGAGTCCCCATCTCCCTTCMGGGTTCTTTTCCCAGGCAAGAAAAAAAGCTCTACTTTGCACAATAAACAAGGTTTTGCTGTTTCTTCTAAAGCTATTTTGGCAAAAATGTAGCCATTAATGAAGCATTTTAGACCACGAAACCCAGGTTATTACAAATGAGAAGCTGCAAAAGGCAGACAATCACAATTCTTCCTTGAGAACTTTTTCCTCTGTCACCAGAACACCTTATGCTGTAAAATCATTCTTTGCTAATTATAAACTTGACAGCATTTCCACAGTTGTATTACATATGATTAATGTGCAACTAAAAACATTCAGTCTTGCTTAACACTCAATAAATACATTTATTCCACTTCTGCATAGAGAAACTTCATAGCCAGGTCCCAGAAAACAAGAAGAAAAGAATATGGAAGGCTGATGGCTTTCAACAGACAAGAAGGGATTTTTTTTGCAGTACCTTTGTAGCAACCCCAATTTTATCTGCTTTAACATATCCCCTTTTCCTCCCTTCTAGATATAAACGAGTGTGAGACCACTAATGAATGCAGAGAGGATGAAATCTGCTGGAATTACCATGGAGGGTTCCGTTGTTACCCCAGAAATCCTTGTCAAGAGCCCTATGTCCTTACCTCAGAGAAGTAAGGGAAAAATTCCTCTTGTGTTTTTAGGTTCATCCTCAATAGGGAACATGATGGAATAAAGCAGAAAATTATATTTTAATGTATTTTAATGTGTTTTTACCTCTGTTTGTGTGGCAGCCGCTGTGTGTGCCCSGTGTCCAACACCATTTGCCGGGAGYTGCCCTACTCAGTGGTGTACAAGTACATGAGCATCCGCTCCGACAGGACCGTACCCTCCGACATCTTCCAGATCCAGGCCACCACCATCTACCCCAATACCATCAACACTTTCAGGATCAAGTCTGGCAACGAGAACGGAGAGTTCTATCTGAGGGTGAGTATTGGGGGCAGTCTGATCCCGCCTCCAGTGCCTTGTCCTTGTGACAACCCCAAATGTCCCCATAAGGCTTTCACAACGTCCTGAAGTTAAGTGGCTTTTTGGTGCTTCCTTACTAAGTGTGCTTGATTTCAGGTTTTTAACAAGCCTTGTACTTTTCTACCTGAAAATAAATAAATTGTGACTCAAACTATTTCTTTCAAACTCAGGAATATTCAGCAATCTAGAGACACCTGTGTCAGATTCCCTGCCTTGCCCTCTCTGTACCAACATCCTAGATAAATCCCTTTAGGACACAATTACAGAAAGATTCCTTGCACAATTACCTTAATTACATTTCTCATTTTGCTAATGAGTAAGGAAATCAATAACAGAATTACAGAAATTTGTGCCCCATCCCAAGCTAAGTTCAGGTCATCTTACAATGGTTTTGTGGTGAGACTTAATTAAACCTTTATTTCCCATAGTAAAAACCAAGGAAGTTCAAATTACTTGGSATAGCACTATTTTCTGTTGGTGGGATCCATCCAAGTAGATACACATGAATGGGAGTGTCTAGAACATCTGCTTTTTAGGTTTTTTTGGTTTTAAAGAAATCTCATTTTCTTGAGCCCTTATCATACTGACAAATTCCTGGAAAATCCTCTTTCCTTCATATGTGGCTTTACACTCAGTAAAACAGAATCAGCACAAAGCGCCTCTATGAGAAATATAGTAATTAGAAGGTTTTAATGTTTAATTATTTTCCTTCATATCATCCTGATATGATTACAGGCTTTTGATAGTACATCCAACAAATGTACCAAGGCATTGCCATTTACATCATGTTTACCCGAGATGGGAACAGGGAACTACTTATCCATATATCATTTGTTCTGGCATAATAAATCCAGGATAGAGCATGGGATTATAGTTTACACATCAAAACCACATAACTACCCCCAAAATACAAACAGTTATTTGCTTAAAATAAAAATAAGATCAGTGCAGGTCCCACTTGACTTAGACCCCAGTGTGGCCTTCAGACTCTGAGTAACAATTCCCATCTCCTGTTGCCACCCAATGAGAAATCACAGTCCTTAAATAAGGAAGCACGTGTTTATTCCTGCCAGGGGATTGTGGTAAACAAARGCTTACTTGGCTTTTGTTATTCCTACTGTTTTTGTAAAATGGTGAGCTCCTGAGCATAGCAGATGGATTGGGTTCATCTGTGCACCCAACTCATGTGACACAGGGAGAGCATATTTGCAATAGGCAAAGGGAAAGACAGAGTTTGCCCTTTTAGCACCACTTGGAAATTACAAAGCTTCCTGACAAATCAGCAGTGGAACACCAACAAGGCTTGTCAGTGTTCCCCAGCAGCACAATCCCAGACTGGGAAAAGTAAAAAGCAGGCAGCTGGAGTGGGGGGTGGTAGTGGTGTGTTTGTGTGTGTGTGTGTGTGTGTGTGTGTGTGTGTGTGTCAATAGGTACACACCAGTTGCAAAAATTCCCAGTGTTTACAAGGACAGCACAACTTCTAGAGTACAAGCCATGAGACACACTTTGAGTTTCCCTCTGCTGAACATGCTACATCCCTATTAAAAACACTAGGGCTCTTGTTTTACCTATTCTCACTTTTAAAAGCTGGTAGATGGGGATAAAAACAAAGACCTTCCTGGGACAGATTACCACTTCCCASGTCCTTTGGGAGTCAGCATAACCAGGAACAGATTTTGCAGGGTAGTTTATTCCTCTGGGGGTCAGTCAGGGAAGTTTTCCATGCAGTGAAGCCAGGTGTGAGCTTAGTCATGGCCATTTAGAAGTGTTAAGAGAGGCTTTGCCTTGCACATGCCTGTGCTGAGGGAGAGCCTTGCACAGTGAGGTAACACAGCAGCACTGGTGCCGCTGGGGAGTTGTGGTGGATTTGACTGAGCTGGGTTTTGTTGTGTTGTTGTTACAGCAAACCAGCGCCGTGAGCGCCATGCTGGTGCTGGTGAAGTCCCTCTCAGGACCCAGGGAGCACATTGTGGACCTGGAGATGCTGACAGTGAACAGCCTGAATTACCGTACGAGCTCAGTGCTGAGGTTAACAATCATAGTGGGACCTTATGCCTTTTAGTGGTTTGCAATAACTCTCCACTGGCACTCACAGCAGCCAAAGAATATTATCGGAAAGAAAGCACTTACTATTTTTATTTATAGATTTTGCTCTCTTTAAAAAAAATGTTTAGTATGTTTAGAATGTTTTATTCACACATTACACCTGTAATTCCAAATTAGTAGAAGTGTTCCATAGTATAACATGGGCATTGTCACTTTCTGTATAAAGATTTAAATCTCTTTTTATTACCTTCCTTGGACTAGATACATACTACGCTTTTATATGAGAACTGTACGTTCATACTATCCTGTAAAACTTCACACACCTTTCCTAGCCAAATAGGTCATGCAATTTAAGTGATCTTCTGTTTTGTTTTTATTTTAAATTCTAATGCAGCTACACTGAATCTCAAAAAAGAAAAAAATTATGTAGTACAAATGATACACAAAGTAAGGATTATCTGATAAGCTAAAATATATTTCTTCTTTCTAACTATTTTGTAACAAAAGGTAACAGTCAATAAAAATCTATTTCTKTAGACATTTATGTGCTATCACAGTTGGTTTTTCTAATCTGGGTTGGAGGTAAAGTTACATTGTAAGAAATGCTTTGCATCAGGTTTTTGTATGCAGATTGTGTTAACCATACCATRGAATAACATTACGCTCTCTCCAAGAAAAATAGACCATAGGAAGAACATTTCTCTAACAAAGAAAGAAACTCCAAATGGAAAATTGCCAGACAGGGCACAAATGTCCCTGAGAACACTCCTGAGAACACTGTTGGTAGTTACTGGATAGAAGGATGAAGYATTTTCAGACTGAAGTTAACATACTATTTTTCCAGAAATATTATGTTGTATACTAAGAATTGAGTGCATTTTCTTATTAAGTTATATCATTTTCAGGCACTCGGTCCTGTTCCTGCTCTTGCTACTCAGATGTATCATGTACAGTGTTCATAAAATTTATTTCTAATTCAAGAACTAATAACATCTTTTGTAATATGTAAAATCTTGTTTCTTGTTTAAAATGTAGTAGTTAATCCTTTGATGTACAAAATTTTTAATAAAGATCTCTTACCATATTGTATTTGGTCTATTTTGAGATAGTTTGTAACTACTGCCATTATTGTCACGTGSTGTGGGAGTTGGCAAAGCCAGTTTGAGGTCTGCAGAGTCAGAGAGAGCCAGATCTCAGCCCATACAGGACTAGTTCTTGGAAGACTAAAAACACAAATCCTTTGTAGAAGGACAAGCCTGCTGCCTGCTGAGATTTAGTTTTACTGACAGTAAAAGTTCGCTCCAGAACATAACTTAGAACAGGCCATAATCACTGTGGCTGAGGGCAACACATCCCCCATGCTCAGGCAGACTGCGGAGCGGGACCCCATTAACCAATGATCATTCCTTCAGGAAGACATTTGTGGCTTTAAACAAATACTTCATCTGCCAAAAGGGTCGGAGCACATGGCTGTTGCACAGGCCAGAAAATGTGATGGGTCACATTCTCTTTGCCTGGAGCAGTGGAGCAGTGGAGTGAGACCCCAGGCACCCCTCATCCTTCCCCAGGCTCCCCTGCTCACCAGGGGGAGCTCACCAGGACAAATCCAGTTGCTCTGCAATGGGATTTAATGGGGTCTGCCATGGTGAAAAGTTTCTGAAACAGCGTTTGGCTTCCAGGGAGCTCGCTCATCTCCCCAGAGAGATTCCTCCCCATTCATCATTACAAATTCACACAGTCTGAAAGGCAACTGCTCATTTCAAACACTGAGCAAAATGCCCCCAGCCTCCTGCTCCTCCATGCAATTCCTGTGGCAGGCAGGATATGCTCACCTCCACGCTACTTTTAATTAACTTTTTCTCTCAGTGTAAGCTGCTCCCATAAACAAGTTGTGCTGCCCCTCAGGCATCCCCCTCCCAGCCCCAGCATCAGCACTGTTCTCCGACTTTTTAACTTCCAAATTGTTGTCCACTCCAACAAAATCAATTTTGGCGCTTATAAGTTTAAGATGGGCAGTTCTCTCTTGATAGGCGCCCAGAAGAGGCTCAAGTGGCTTTTCCTCCTTAAGATCTCAGACTTGAAGGGCACCAGGCTGGTCCCTGTTGCAAATTAAGAAATCACAAATCATCCCAGAAGTCCCCAGGCTGCCAGGCTCTGCCCTAAGGATTTACACTACCTTCATGCTCTGCCAATTTTTACATCGCCAGCACTTTTAAGCCTTTCTTTAAAACCTCTGCTCCTCTGACAGTGACCCAAAATTGATCATTATWTAAAAATATATTTATACACCACTCAAACTGCAGGAGCAGCAGACAGTTGTACCTCACATGTGTCCAAGCCATCATCAGYCTGCACACCTCACTGTGCTCAGATACTTGGCCTAATCCATTGTATTTACACACAAGCTCTCCTGTCAACCCTGCTCCCTGTCTGTTTGCAATATCCAGGTGTTGTCCACTGAGAGCCCAATCAGGCCAAGTCAGAGTTGTCACACAGCTCAGGAGTGCACGCCCAGTCTCTTGTCACTATTCTGCTGCAGGCTGGTTGAGCCTGAAGGCGGTCACTGGGTGTGGGCAGTACTTCCACAAGGACCAAGAGCTGGAATAACATCAGCCCCTCCAAACCAAAACAGGAGCAGAGCTGAGCTGTGCAGAAACTGGCAGGGGGTGATTGGTTTTGTTTTGGRTAGGGGTGGGGTACTTGACTGAGCCTGAAAGAAGCCCACAGTCAGAATGAGAAGATGGTTCAGTGCCTGAACAAGGAGAGCTTTTGTACACCAAAAGACCTGCATGATTTTAGGAGGGAAATCTGCAGGTTCTCCAGTCCTTCAGGCAAGCAGAGCTTCACCTGTTCCCTGCAAATTATACAGAACTGCAGCAAACACCCAACAACTGTTTGAAAAGCTGCTTGGATTATAAGGGACATTGAAATCCCAAAAAATTATTTGAGAGCAAAGTGTTTCTCAGCCCTCTCTGTATCCCACTGACACGACCATTACCAACAGCACACTACAGGAAGGATTCTCATATAAATCAGTCAGTGTTGGAGAAGAATCTAAATCAGGATCATATGCAAAGTTTAGTATCTTCTCAGAAACAGAAAACAGGGAGAAAAGGGAGAAAAAAATAGGACTGAGTAAACAGAACTTAGGGAAATAAAAATGCAAGTTCATTCACTTCCCCAGGACCACCTGAACACAGTGCAGTGGGATTATTTTGCTTGGAAGGCTCACAAATGCAAGTTTGTTGTTGAATCCTGTTTCCATGGCTGCAAAGAGTTGCTTGTGTTTTGAACGATCATCTGTGTTTCTAACTTTATAATTCTCCTATTAAAATATAGAACAGCTGCTGCCCCAGTCAGCTGTTCAGCATATGGAGCCCACCAGGGACAAAGCCCACTGTTAACACGAAGAATTATTTTTAACGCCCTCACATATCTAAACCTCCCCATCATCTCAGCAAAATGGCACAATTCCACACTTCCCAGCTGGGGGAACACCTGCGTCATGCAAAACTGAACTGGGCTGCATCTGCTACAAAACCCAATTTTATTTCATCTGGCCAGCAGAAAAAAGTGATCAGCCTCAATGAACAGGGCAAAAAGTTAACTGTGTTTTATATCTAGGGAAAAGCAGATGTGCAGTTAAGATGTTTATACAGCAAACATTTCTGTATATATTAGGAGGAAAGAGAGCTGTTTAATAAAACAGGGTTAGGTTAGAGCTGCCAAAGCAAATTTGAAGGGCAGTACAACAGCTTTTGTAATTTTTTCATGGGAAAAGATACGGTCCTCTTTTATATTGATATTGATTATGTGTATTGAACAAGTAATTTTTTCAAGTAAGTAACCTCAAACTAAACTCTTTAAAGCCTCACACTTACTGTGTGTATTTGCTCAGAAGAAAAAGCTGCAAACTTCATGTCATAGCAATATGACAAAGAAGCATTGAAGGCAGCCCCCGATTTATTCTCTGGTATATATCAGCCATCACCTTGTTACTGGTTGAGGGGCCAAGACACCCAGCAATGCTTCCTGCAGACCGAAATACTGGAATTAGGTGAGCTTCAGGTTTTGTTTGCAAACACATTCACTCCATGTCAGTCACATGCTGTTTCTCTTGAGATAAATTATTTTGCTTGCTGATCCAGAATCCCAACAGTCCCAGAAGAAAGACCAGCACTCTGCATCCCTGTTCCCTCATAGAAATGCATCTGGATAATTAATATTTTTAAATGTTAACAATATTTCTGTAACTTCTACATAACCACACAGTACATGTATATATTCAAACAGGATAAACATTCATAGGTGCAGCTCTTGCCCTGTGAATACACACTGTGCTGCACCTCATTGCAATTGCTGTAATAAAACATTCATTTTTTTCTCTCCCCCCCCAATGCTTAAGACACCCCCTAAAGCTTCTGCAGGTCCTCAAAAACTCCCAAAGCAAAGGCATGCCACATCCCCATCCATATACTGAAGAACAAGCACACAGAAAGGCTTTCAAATTGAGCAGCCCGACAGCTGGGTTGACAAAAGCAATATATTCATGCTTTTAAATTCTGAAACCACAGCCATGGAAGTTACACAGACACCTCAAGGTTTAAATCCTGTCAGTGTCACTCCAGAAACATCTGAACCTGAGACCACCTACTCTGGAGGGCCACATTTTCTTCTTGCACTTGACATGTTTCTGGAATATTTCTGTGCAATGTACAGGAATGTTTCCTATGCAGAATATATACAACAAACACCCAAGTGGGAAGTCAAAAGAGCAAAATTCCTGCAGGCGGCATGGAAACTAGGAAAACAAACAACTTTTGGAAGCTCAGAGCAAGGGCTGCAGAGGGGAAGCCAACATACCAAAACAGCAGGGTAAAAGGCATTATTAAAATCAGTAAGTCATTCTCTGAGAAGCTGAGGTTGTACATGAACAAGGCAAATGGAAAAGTTCCTGAGCTCTGGAAGGTCACACGTGAAAACAAACACGGCAGGCCAAAGGAGCAGCYTGCAAATGCCTGCACTGACA